CTTGGACGGGAGTTCGAGAGGAACAGGGAACAATTACCAGATGAGATGAGACAGGGAATAATGGCGTTGTTGGAGTAACAGGGACAAATTCCTCGAATTCAGGGGGACCGTGTTTTATTTCTCGCCTCCCGACGATACGCCAACTTGTTATTACACGCTTTTTCCCCTTATGTCACGCTTTTTTCTTAGTTCCTTTTTTTTTTTTTTTTTTTTTCTTTTTTACTTATCCGTACGCCTATTTTTCATTTTGTATTTCACTACGATATTGCCTGCCTCCAGCTAAAGACGCAATAACGGGAAGAATTTATGCGATACTGCTTAATGAATTACCGTCTTATCCGTTAGGAACGCTCGTTTTTTATCCGCGGCGAATGAACTTGCGTTTTCCTCCGTCCGGGAAATCGAGAAATATTTGTGAGTGAATTTTTCGTGTCAATTCGTGTAATTTCCGACCGTAAACGGTGTGAATTTCGATACGGAAAGACAAAGTTCAAAGTTCGATCGAAACTGGAAATTCAAACAAATTTAATTCGTTGAATTAATGACGATGGCATTCATTGAATGAGAAACTTGAGAAAAGTTATGTATCGACAGAAAATCGATCATTTGGTCAATCTATCAAAGACTAATGTTCCACTTCAATCGATTTATGTTATTAAATTTTCTATCCGTATACGCTACCACCCAAAAATTCGCGACGCCCTTTAATTTTTAGACGAAACAATTTCCAGAGGAACGAGAATATTACACGTTCTCAACTTTGTATAATCAATATATAATCAATATATAAGTAACTTTAGTATGTAGAGAAATAGAAGAGAAAATTAGGAGCAAAATTTACTATTTATCGCAATTTTAATAAGGAAATCTCAATGATCTGAAGGATTCACTTCCATCAAAATTCTACAGTTTTCGTAAAGTTCAATTAAAGAGTAAACTTCGTTAAAGAATAAACAACAAACGTGCCATTTCTGAAGAAAATCACTCCAAAAATGCCTGATCCAAAACACATTCGACCACTCGATCGAGTCTCTGTCGTCCTTACCCTCTCGAAAAAGGGTATTTACATGACCGCAACTTGTCCCCCGAATACTTGTCAATGAGGGAGAAAATTAGCATCGGGGACAGACAGATAGACAGAGAGATGACACGGGGGCCGCGTGTAGTTTAAGGGCCAGCCGATGGGAAGACCGGATCGATCTACTTGCTGGAAATAAAGTACCGATGCACACACCAGAGGCTGGAAATAGCCCACCCTGCCCTATATTTCAAAATACACGTCGTCGTGCCGTGGAAAACCTCCTCGCCGAGGGTTCGACGGGGGAAACAAGAGCGAAGGAAGAGAGAAAGAGACACGTCGTAGTTCAATAGATGGACGTAACAACAAGACGAGAAGGAAAAAGAGAGAGAGAGAGAGAGAGAGAAAGAAATTAACGTGAGTAGAATCAACGTCGACAACGAGTAGTTCGGGTGGATGACGTTCGTCCACTTCGAGCGGTTGAAGCCTCATTGGCCTCCGATTCCCCGGGAAATAATATTAAAACCGGAAAGGGGTGGTCCAACAGAGCGCGGAGCTGGCTATGGACGCGCTTGACCCAAAAAGCGACTCTTTTCCCTGAAAAGCCAACGGGAACGTGACCGTATGCCACCCCTTTCGTTTTTTCCTCCTTCTCCATTTCTCACTCTCTCTCTCCCTGTTTTTCCTCGTGTTTCTCTCTTCTTCTTTCGCCCGCCCTCCCCCTTTCCTTTTATTTATTCCCGCGGAATTGGCAGTAGTAATGCCAGCGGATTAATGTCGACGGATAATGCCGCGAGCTTGTGACGCTGTAATCTGCCTCGAAATTTTTCGTCCAAATTCTCGCTGCGAACAAGTTATTCGCCCCTTTGCCCGGCGAATATCGTGTGGAACCGGACGAGTGAAAAAAGCTGGGGGGACACGCGTCGGGTTGCAGGGAAATCGTCGTGCGCGTGGAAATTAACCGATCCAACGGATCGAACGGATTTTTCGGAGGAAAATAGACAGAGAGAGAGGAGCAGAAAGAACGAGGAAGAGGTTGGTGAAATCGATTGCAGCTGGTCGACTGTTCCAGCCTGTGTTTGCCCCTATATGTTTCTTTGCCCCCGTGTTAACGGGAAAATCGCCTTTTCTTCCGTGTAATTTCTGCTTCTTTCCTTCTTTTTTTTTTTTTCTTTTCTCTTCAACGCGTGTGTACAAAAAAAAAAAAAGAAGGAAGAAAAAAAGAGCGAAGCGGCTTTTTGCAAGAAGAAGCAAGTTGGAAGTAGATTATTTGCTAATGCATGTCGTGTTTACGATGACTATGCAAGTTTCCTTCGAGACCGTACATATTCAGCTTTTACCGACGCTGAATTGAGTTATTGCTCATGAATCTATGCAGCAACGCTTGAATTTCGATCGAAATACTGTTATGTAATTTTTATGTTATGTATGATGATACTTTTTTCGTCTTTTTCTTTTTATAAGTGTACGTTAATAGTCGCTGACATTGATACTTGGTGACTGAATAAAACGAACCTGCTGGTACATGTTATAGACAACTGTGCGTTGTCTTTCTTTTTCGCAGACAGATTCTCTACTAGCTCCTTTTTATGATTTTTCTTTTTGCGACTGTTTGAATATCTATATGAACTTGCAAATAAAAGAAAAAAAACCACCGAAGAAATTACTTTGTCGAAAGTAACTATTCATAGTTGAATATTCATGTTGAGAGAACGGGTATGAGTACTACAAATATTTTCAGATATAATTGGCCACGATATTGTTAAATAGATTGAATAACAAATATAATTTACTGAGACAAACAGACATGCAGTTATAACCTACATATACAATTAAAATATAATCTATCCAATTTTTTAATTTTCATTCCGATTAACAGAATATTACCTTCCAAATAATATAAAAGATATATTCCAATTATTTTCACGACAAAAAATCTTTCACTAGCTACAGTATTTTAATCATTTACTAATAGTAAGAAATAAAGTCACTTCTGTCATTAAATTTTGCACGACAGAATCCTTCATTAGTCTATTAAGGCTCAAGAAATGATTTATCATAATATTACTAATAATTCAATTTGTTTAAATTTCACAAATATAAAATCTAAACGGACATGAAAAAATATTATAGAAGCCTGCGGAATTTCTTTCCACAACTCCAACATTTGAAAGTAAGAAAGATAATAGACAAACTATCGTCCTAAACAATCATCCCTGATCTTAGGTTCCGTTAAGTTCCAAATTTTTACAATGATACGAAGACAATAGTATCGAAGATGCGAAAGGCATAACGAAAACGAAAGACATAATGCATATGGCAAGTAACATGATACGCATGTCAATGTTAATTAACCAACATTTCAGGAAAGTCTAGGACTCGCACGTGCGTCGCTTATGAAACACGCCACGTTCGAATTCATAGAACATACTCTAATTCCATATGTGGATCGAGAAACCGCCAATGTTATCCTGATTCAAACTTGCACAGCTGATGCGTGCAATAAAGGATATTATAAATCAGGCAGGCGGTAGGATTTTTGTGAAGAAAAGAAGCGTTGTAGCCCAAGAAATACCTATGGAAGGGATGAGAGAAGTAGGTCAGGTTTACTGTATGCGAAATTTAATCTGTAGGTGCCTACCTTGGCAAAGAAAGGAACTCCGGGACAAGGAAAAGCTCAATTGCATTTTACGGCCTACCTGGCCAAAGTAAATACATACGAAAGTGATTGGAATAAGGAAACTAACGACTGCTTTCGAAATATTTTCTAATAAGTTCTTTCTAATAAGTTGTAATCCTAAAATAAGTAAAATTTTGTATACTTGTGTATATATCTAAAAATATTTCTGTGTAAAAACGGAGATTCTATTGTATGGCATTTGAATAATGTAAAAGATATCTTCTACTGCACGACATAACGTAAAAAGACAATTTTTCATGTACATTTGCTAGTAGTATAAAGTTAAGGAAGTTTATTTTTGAAGATACACCATTGTATCGAAATTATCGCTTTAAAATTAGTTGCAAAAACTGAAATATATAACATGAATAATATTTTCTACTGCATATTAGAACACAAAGAGGAGGAATTTGTATGTACATAGCACGTATCTGACTAAAATTAGAAATATTATTTTTGGAGCACGCTGCTGTATCGATCGGTAATATTTAATAATTGTTGTTAAGTAATTCTAGGCATTATACAAACGTAATATTTGAGAAACTAATGGCACCATAAAGCGAAAATAGCTAGCAACGTATTTACTTTCACTTCGGAGTGCCCCCTGTTCGTGTCCTTCTCATTGACAACGAGTACCCTAACCTCTCTTTCGCAGAAGTCTCTTTAAACGTAGTAAATAAGCAAGCATAGTTACTCGAAATGCACATTTCGCTAGGAATACGACGATCGTATCTCGCTAACAGATATTATCGGAACGGCCGCTTTATCGACTCGTGTTCCTACTCCGAAATTTCCTCTCGTCTCCCGGCGGTGACGAACATAACCTCTAACTCGGCCGTATCGAGCGAGACACTCGTGAACGACGCGACGATTACGAATCCTTCGATTCTATTTACACCGAGAACAAAAACGAAACGTGTCTTCGTACTTGTCGAAGCGTACGAACGAATGGCTCAAAGAAACAAAACAATGAATTACGGAGTGCGAAGCACTGTGCAGTGTGTATACTTTTTTCACATACGCTCGGTCAAAATTCCTGGAATTTCGAGCACGTTGATACTTGCCTCGACGGATGGCACGAAATCGTGTTTACAATGGCCGAGAATAGAAACGGAGAACAATATTCCGCGACCTGACGCCTCATATCGAACCGACGCCTTCGAACATTTCCAGCAAAGAGAGGGTAGAGAGTGAGGGAAACAGCGAGAGACGCCTCCCTCTCCTCGTCTGGTTAAACGTAGCAGAGCTAGCGTAGCTCCCGGTGAATGTACGGTATTCGTGAAAAATGTAATAGTCACTTACGGGGTAGTACATCCCTTGTGGAGGAAGAAAAAACGCCCCAGAGCCCCACAGTTTGAGGCCGTTTTGCTCCACCGTTGTGCGAGAAAACAAATCCAACACTCCGTTACCTCCTCCTCCTCCTCCTCGCCCTCCTCGCCGCGCTCCTCCTCCTCTTCTTACCTGGTTGTACCTTCTCGCGTACTCTTTCTCTCTTACTTTCGTGCTCACACTGTGTACGCGAGACCCGGCTACTCTCTTTTCGACGCACGTATGGTACGTATGTGTATGTGCTACCGACGTACGTTCACACACAGAGGCAAACGCGTAACGAGAGACGGTGCGGTGTTTTTCACGCACACACGGACACAGGCGCGCGCGCGCCGACCCACACGCACCAGAACCGACCGAGACGACGCACGATAATCGAACGACGGAGGTTAAAACTCTTCGACGCGCACACGATCGAGCGGGACCCGCGAACTCGGTGTGACCACGGCAAGTACGCCCGTGTACGGTTACGGCTAGTAAAAATCTCTGCTTCTTTTTCTCTCTTTCTCTCTCGCTCTCTCTCTCTCTCTCTCTCTATCTTCTCTGCCCTGTCTGTGTTCCTTTAGCTTCTCGTTCGTCCTATTGCACGTTCTCTTTCTCTCGCGACAAACTCACAACCGCCACCGTACGTGGTCCCTCAGCGACTAACGGTCCCGCTCCTAGCCGGCGCCATCGGCGCGCAGCGTCACTGCGCATCCAGCGCCGCGCATCGGCCATCTTTCGCACTACGCGAATCAAACTCTATCGGAGGCGCACAAAATGCCTCCGCTTTGATCGGAGCGCCTACCTCTCTCTCCTGCATCGAACGCGAAATTTATGGAAATATAAAACGTTTCATTTACCGCAAAACGTTCGTTACATTTACTATCCTCGCCACGTCTCGGCTACGCCACGATTTTTACAGATCTTTTTAAGACTTACACCGGCTAGATTTACTTCTCCCTCGTATTTTATTCCCCGTGTAATTACCGTACGCCCATCCATTTCCACCCCTCCAAAAATGCGCTTGTTAAATAAAAATTAAGTCTTATTTATGCACGATTTATCTTCTTTTATCTATCTGTTATTTTTCTGAGTACGAGGTTTTTATAAATCCAAGTTGCAGCATCGTACATTTACAATGATACAGTGTCTGTCGCGAATATTTTCCATTTTGGAAAATGGCCCGTGACTAACTCTCAGCGTCGTGATTGCCTTTTCTATCAACCATTGCGAAACGCCAGAACCTTGCACCGTCAGACTGCAGATGTTGCACCGCTACCTGTGTATCTCTTATTATATAGAAGTAAATCAATTGTTCCCCGCGCTTTAATTGGTCTGCAAGCGCACGTGTCTCAGGTGTACCATTCCTCTTTGGCAAATGGCAAATGCATCGCCAATTATGTAAAATAATTTCATGTAAAACGATGTCAATTGCCTTTTCTTTAAACGTGGGTATTTTATAAATCGTTTACAAAACAACTACAATGAAAACACACTCGTGCAACATCCACTTGTTATGCAGTCTTTTCTATTGTGTGCTCGATAATTCAATAGATTCTAGACAATTTGTTGTGAAAATTGACCAAAGATTCGTGATCGTAATGAGTGCTCGCGCTCAGTCAGCACATATAATATCGAAGGTTCGTTATTGCGCCCACAGTCGCGCCGTTATTACGCATATATTAGTATGCAGCAGAGAGATACAAGGAAATGAAACCATTATCGAATAGTAGAGAATGGATTTCGATTCCGAGGAAAGTTCACGTTACACGAGATTACTCGCTGACCCTCCGCGAAATTATCTTTGCGAGTGGAATCCCACGAAGAGGAAATTTAAGAGAACGAATATTGTTATTTTTCGGAGTGTTTCTCAAAGTTCAAAATTCAATGTTAAAAATATTGTGAAAGACCTTGTTATCGACTACGGAGTATTTAAAGAGATAAGGAACTATTTTGACACGGAGGCATTAAAATGCAGTTTGCTGAAAATTGAATTTCCTTAAGGCCAGTGTGTTGCAACGAAAAAGTTATCGTAGGTATAGAAACCTCTGCTATTAATTACAGAGATAATGAACCAATTCTCTGTAAGATTAAAAATTTCTTAGTTTGAGAATTTCCTCATAATCATTGTATTATTCTTCGACTGATGTTCTGTTCTTGTTTTTGATTACACTTGAGAAGATAAAATATTTTCCCGTAGAATCGTCAAAATTCAATTCCCTCACAATTAATTCTCTCACATTATGCAAGAGATCACCACACGATATCTTCGAATACTGTCGATATACACTATCTATAAGGGCAATAATTTATTTCTCAATTTGATTTCTTCAAAATTAAATTTAAACGATATTTCCGAACAGTATAAACATCCTTTTCATTAGTTACAACACAGGTATTTAACAAAATAACGTCCTATCTTTCCTCAAAGTCATAAAAACTGTCCAAAAATTAAATTTCATCGCAGCCATTTAGTGCGTTACGATGCAGAAGATATCTCCGGAAACGTAAGCCACTAAATCACGTTCTGCTCGAACTTGTATCTATCGTCTACCGATTTTCACTAATGCACGTGCACAAATGCATTGGCGGAATTGCCGCGTGAGTCATATTCTCCCATCTCTAACCTTTGATTGCCGACAAACGTTCGTTGCACCTCTGCACGACACGACGCCCAACACCAGTCGAAACTTTCACGTCTTCCATTACGCCTGTTCCTTTCCCCATCGTTGCGCAATATCCCGACTGGAAGCAAGCACGGAACACGGGAGACGATCGAAACGCAACCTCGATCGAAGATGGATCGTTGTGAAATTCTGTTCGGTCGCAGCGTGGAGCAAGCGCCACCGCGAATATCCTGACGGGAGGCTGGAAAGTTCTGGAGCAAAGTATCGGCAGATACGATGAGATCTCGACAATTTATACCCTTGGAATTCAGCCAGGATTTGTCTGTCCTCCGCATCGGGCACGACGAAAAATGTCAAACGCGAGGGACCGCGAGAATTTACGCGATAATTTACAGCGCGAGTGAGAGTCGGTGAAGATCGTAGTCTTGCGAAGTGTTACGATAGTTCGATTCAGAGGGACGCTGATTGATCGTGGGTAAATTGTACTGTTAGATGTGTAAGAAATCAATAACATTTAAAAATAAAATATCTCTCACACGTGTATGACGAACGAAGTTATTGCAGGATTGTTAATGAATTCAGTTTCATTAACATAATCTGAATTACCTGAAAAGTTTTTTAAAGTGTATTCTATAAAGGCTCTCTGAGAAAAAGAAAATTGAAACGTTGGGTACAAGAAGGATGACAAAAGTCAATCATGATCGATAGGTTATGAATTTTTATTCATTCTCGCATTTCTTCAAATTGAAAAAGTGAAGTCTAAATAGAAGTTTGCCTCATCTATTAAATATTATAGTACATATTTTATACGCATTATATTTCATGCATTGTGTGTATTTATGCACCTTCAAATTTCCCATAAATGCATGAAAATCTGCAATCCTATGATTATAGATTAATTATAGATTATAGATGAGAATTTAAGCGTTAAAATAGATAGAGAATTTAAGCGTTAAAAATTCATGATTGTTATTGACAAAGTAATTTCAATATAATGATATATAAATAACACGAATAAATAATAGTTTGATATTACTAGATTATCTTTAGTTTCTTAAGAAGCTAAATATTTGTTCTTTAAGATCTTGAACAAATAAATACTTGAGTAATGAAATCCAGAAATGTGGAAAAGATAGAATTGACCAGTCTAGTTTTTCAGAGACTCGCGAATAAAAGAACACGAGTTAAATATAAAATGAAGCGTTAAACAGTGAGATCAACTTCTGAAAAGAAACTCAGCCTTTCGTCTGAGAAATTCTAAGAAGGTTATAAAAATCGTTCCGTAAATATCTTTATACGACCAAACGAGCCGTAATTTTCCGTTTCTTTGATTAATAGCGATGTTTAAAGCGCTTGGTGTTCAAAGGGCGACTGTGCACGAAAATAAGCGGCGAAGAAACATCGCCTCAGAGAGATTTTCACGAGAAAATCATCTCGTTTCTTTCTTTCTATTTTTTTTTTTTTTTTTTTTCGGTTCCGAAAAACTTGAGGTAATGTCGATCAACGCGATGACAGTAACGAGATTTCGTAGAAATCCCAGAGAGAAAGATCATAATGCGTGGCGTTGTTCGTTCCGCGGACTCATAAACCGTTTGTTCGAAGGCGATTAGGGTCGCAGCGCGGGGGAAAGAAAGCATGAAATTGACGGGAGCTCGCTCTGAGAAACGTGTTCTCTCGGCTGAAGGAATGAGAAGGTGCAGCTGTATTTTCGGTGCAGCGCGAATGTGATCTCACTAAACAAGTGGAGCGGACGTTTAGAAGCCGAGTAAATACACGCCGAGGAGGAAGTGACGGAGGAAACGTAGGTAAACTCGTAGTCACTCTCTGCGTTAACCTCGCTTTCTTCGCGCGTGTTTCATTGTGGACCAAAAGTTCTTTGTGATAATAGTCGCGGTGAGGTGAAACTCTTATTATTTCTTGAACCGTGGCAATCGCGAGAGCGAGAAGAATTTGTAGCTTGCGAACTCAGTTGTATACTTTGATTGAAAATGGCGTGGAATATATGTATATCGAAATAGACAAAATCATGTAAAACATCTAAATACACAGGAACGAATCTTAGATTTTACTTCTTAAATTATTTCCATAAAACGACGAGTATATTTAACTTGTATCAGTTAATTCGACTTATTTCATATTTATCTTCCTCGATATTTAAATTTCCTATAAAAGTGTAAACATCAACAGTCTACTCGTCGAGAAACGAGTGGTAGAATCGAAGCCGGATGGGGGACGAAGCCAGCGAAACGAATCAAACGGGAAAGACTGAGACAATATAACGCCAACCTTAAAAGTATCCTCTCATCCGACATCGTGTCTCAATATCTTTAGGAAAATGTAACTTCCAGACAGCAGCCCGCCGACGTTACTTCAATAATCACTAGCGAAATGATTGTCTCGTTGGAAAGAGGAGCAACCCTCCGTCTCTCCCATCCCGATGGATCATCCAGTGTTTGCCGAGAGGACTATACGGGTACCTACAATCAACCTGCGACGCTCGTTCGATCTACAGGGGATACTACCCCTCTTCGGATCACCATAGAAACGAAGGGACGATGCCAGCGAGCGGGAGAGGGTGCAAAAGCCACGGTGCTTAGAATAACGCGGCTCGACGCGCTCTAGATGGAAATGGATCTCCATGGTATCGCCGAGTGGTAACAAGCGAAAACACGATGTAACGACGTGCTCTGAACGTTGCCGTAATAACAAACGAGACAAATTCATGACACGGATCCGCGATTTCCGTTTGCCGTGCCGTTAAATTAATAGCGGGAGAAGATCGCGCGCACGCGCGATCCAACGATCCTCCATTTACAACCTTCTTTGTCTCGCTATCTGTTCTTGAATCTGAAATCGCTACGAAGATTTCTATTTCCCCTCCCGCTGTTATTTCACATTTTTCTTTCCAATCTCCTTTGTGGAGGTCAATTTATCTGTTAATCCCGATCTCTTTCGCAGGATAACGCGGCGGATAGCGTTGCTTTTTATTAAAATTTCGTAACACTCGAGTCGAGTAGAAATCAACGTGGAAAGTTATCGTTGCAATTTTCGTCCTTTGTCCTAGGCTCGGGCGGGTACGCTCGTTATAAGACAAAGGCCATCGCAACTTGAAAATAACGGGAAACGCGTAAGTGTTCGGGGACTACTTTG